AAAAAAGAAGAACGGTGAATGGAGACCGTGCGGCGACTACCGTAGGTTAAACGCAGTCACATTACCGGACAGATACCCCATTCCACACATTCAAGACATCACACAGCGATTGCAAAATAAAAGTATTTTTTCAAAAATCGATTTGGTTAAAGCTTTTAACCATATACCAATAGAACCGTCCGATATTCCAAAAACAGCTATTACAACACCTTTTGGGTTATTTGAGTTTGTTCGGATGGGATACGGTTTTAAAAATGCAGCTCAAACATTTCAGCGTTTCATACACGGTGTTTTAAAAGACTTAGATTTTTGTGAAGTGTATTTGGACGATATTTTAATTGCATCGTCTTCAACACAAGAGCATTTGAGTCACCTCGAACGTGTATTACAACGACTCAGTGAGTACGGCATTGTGATAAATACGAATAAATGTATATTTGGAAAAGAAGAGGTACTATTTTTAGGATACATCATATCGGGTAACGGTCTTAGACCAAATCCTGAAAAACTGGAAGCGATAGACAAATATCCACGGCCGAATAATGTACAAGAGCTTCGACGTTTTTTGGCTATGTGCAATTTTTACCGCCGTTGTATCCCAAACGCAGCAAGTACACAAGCTATTCTTCACGATTATCTTAAAAACAGCAAAAAAAACGACAAAACACCAATTGTATGGACCGATCAATCAACGGGAGCGTTCGAGAAAACTAAAGAAGACTTAAAGCGAGCCACAACATTATCGTATCTAGATCCGGCCGCGAATATTCAATTACGATGTGACGCGTCAGATATGGCGATAGGCGCAGTAATAGAACAATTTAAAAACGGCGTTTGGCAACCACTTGCTTTTTTCTCTCGCAAACTTGACCAAACACAAAAAAAATACTGTGCATACGATCGTGAACTTCTTGCGGTATATGAAGCCATTAAGCATTTTCGCTATATGCTGGAAGCCCGTGAATTTGAAATAATTACGGACCATAAGCCGTTAGTATACGCATTCACACAACACTCAGATAAATTACCACCTCGACGTGCACGACAACTTGATTTTATTAGTCAGTTTACAACATCAATACGGCACGTAACAGGTACACAGAATACAGTGGCCGATGCGTTATCGAGAATAGAAACTATAAATGCACCGCCACCGCTAGATTATGACAAGTTAGCTTACGACCAGTTAGCAGACGCAGAACTATTGTCGTTATTGTCAAAACCGGAATTATCGATAAAACTAGAGCTCGTAAATATGCCCACTACGAACACAAATATTTACTGCGATACTTCTAATGGTAGACAACGACCGTATCTTACCAAACAATTTCGCCGCAATGTGTTCAATTGTCTACATAATCTCGCTCACCCAGGTATACGGTCAACAATAAAATTAGTGAGTAGTCGTTTCGTGTGGCCGTCGATGAACAGTGATTGTGCGAAATGGACTCGTGCGTGTTTAGCGTGTCAAAAGTCAAAAATAACGCGACATGTTATAAGTCCGTGTGGTATTTTTAATGTGCCGAGTGATCGTTTTTCACATGTACACATCGATATAATCGGTCCTATGGTCATGTCACGTGGTTGTACTTACTGTTTAACCGCTATAGACAGATTTTCTAGATGGCCAGAAGTTTTTCCAATTCAGGATATTTCGGCTGAAACCATAGCTCGTACGTTATTTGAAGGCTGGATAGCTCGATATGGAGTTATGGAGAGATTGACAACAGATCAAGGACGGCAATTTGAGTCTACTCTGTTCACCGCAGTAACGCAAATTTTAGGGTTTAGAAGAATACGTACATCAGCATATCATCCACCAGCCAATGGTTTAGTTGAACGATTCCACCGATCACTTAAAACGGCAATAAAGTGTTACGAAACTGAGCACTGGACAGATGTACTCCCCTCAGTTCTTATGGGCCTTAGATCAGTGATTAAAGAAGATCTAGGTTTAACACCTGCAGAAATTGTATTTGGAAGTACGATTAGATTACCTAATGAGTTTTTTATGCAGTCATCAGTGGCGACAGACCCTTGTTCCTTTGCTGAAACACTAAAGAAAACAATGGAAACCATACGCCCAGTGTCAACTTCAAACCACGGAAGTAAAAAAGTTTTTATATATAAAGATCTAGCATCCTGTTCACACGTTTTCGTTCGGGTCGACCGGGTCAAGAAACCGCTAGAACAACCATATGAAGGGCCGTACAAAATTGTTCAACGATACGAAAAAACCTTTAAATTATTAATTAGGCAAAAAGAATGTATCATATCAATAGACAGACTGAAGCCATGTTTCAACGAAAATGAAGATAATAACACAAATCTATCAATAACAACGAACCAGCAAAACCAGAGAAATACAACTACAAGACCAACAATAATACAAACAAAACAAACCAAGTCAGGAAGAACCATCCGCCTCCCCGTAAGGTTTTTGTAAATTGTGAATTGTATCACTTTTATATTTGTATTTGTATTTTTATATTTGATATTTGTAACTATGTATGTTTAACGTAAAATTATCGTTTTCACTGGAAAGGGGGTAATGTAGGGATTAACAAAGATGTTAAATAACATGTCACAATGAATGCGTTTATATATGTTTATATGTTTTATCTTAGATGTACTGCAGTACGATAACACTCCGTGTATTTTTTTTATTCTCGCGCTGTTCGTCAATCCAGTGACACTTTTTATTTGTACTCTTTTTTTATGTACGTATAAAATTATTTTTCATTATTAAAAAGTATTAATTATTATAAATTTTAATTGTAGTATTTTGTAATAAATATAAACACCAAAACACTACAAATTTTTCATTTATATAATATTTATGAAAATCTGTACTTCCCTTATTAAGGTATTTTAAAATAAAATAAAATACAAAACCCAGAATTTTAACACAAAAATAGAACATTTTTGAATACGGTAGTCATATTTACCATGAAGACAAGTCCAGAGGTCAAATTTTTTTTCAAATTAAAGTATATTACATAAGCTTTAATTTAAGATATATATAAAAGTGTCAGTCTTTCCAGAACATTTTCAAAAGTCAATTTTTTGTAAAATAGTTACCATTTTGAAATCCTTTCTGTTGGCTGGTAAAGGGTCAAATGTTCACAAAAATGTATAAAATGATAGGTGAATACCTAAGGTATCTATAAAAAAAAATTATATTGAATCGGTCATTTTTAAAAAAGTTATAGCAATTTTAAGAAAAAAAAATTTTAAATGTCGAAAATTAGCGATTGTTAAATTTGTAATTTTTTGTGGGATTATCCCGTCTACGGGGAACGAGGAATTTTTTTCAAATTTTGAGGGTAATATCTTCGACTAGATACGATTTGTGATCTTTTGACATATTTTTCATCAAAATCGGTCTATCGAGAGCTGAGATTGAGCGTATACAGACACAAAAAAAACCACATCATAGTAAAATAATACCTTCTCTGCTTCGCATCGAAGCTAAAAATAAAATGGTGAATAATATTTTACTAAAATTTTTCTGCGGACCACCTAAATTTTCTCACAGACCACCAGTGGACCACGGACCACTAATTGGCTACTATATAGTGTTAGGAATATTCGCAAGTAGCCATGTTCGGCAAGTGAGGCAATTGTTGGTGTTATTAACCGAATCAAACGCGGTTTTTTACATTTCCTGAACGGCATTCAGGAACATTGTGTTGCCTGACTGCTGACGTATTAGGAGAATCGACATAGAGCGGCTTGTTGAAGTTGACGGACCGGGTGACATCACAAAAATGATTTCGTGAGATTTGTAATCCATACTAGTAGTTTAAGATTGGGGTCATTAGAAATTTATATACCGTCGGAATTATTGAATATATGATTTTTTGTGAAAAGGGCTCGTTGGAGATTTAGGATTTTGATTGCTCTTACCAGAATTACGCGAATTTTCGTTGAATTTTTGTGAGTTGGAAGTTTGCAAAGTGCTTCTACGACGCAGTGGTGTTGATCACCTCCTCCCGGATAAGGTCTGGATTGAATCCAGAGCCCCAGTGGGCACCGTAAATGTACCGAAAGGCGAAACTTTGGTTTCAAAACAGGTAAAAATATTGAATAAACAATCAAACAGAACAGTACTCTAAAAATAGGCGGGTTACTTCAAACGTACACAAGATAAACACCGATAAATCGTAGCTGTAATATTTAATATTCTTGTAACTTTTTGAGTTAAATATTTTTTTTAGGTTTAAATTCATATTTTAAAAGTATTTTTAGTTTTAAATATTATTAATGATCAGTACATATTATATGTATAGAAACATTTAAAGAACAAAATAAAATGTTCTTTTAACAACTAATTGATGGAGAAAAAATCAGTTAATATTGGGTACAACACATATTATGTTCATAGTTCACTTCTATTTTTAATTTAATCATGTTGTTGTAATAACTTTTTTTTTAGAAAATATCATATTTATAACAAAAGAACTTTACATTTTTTTTATTGTAAATAGAATACTTCGTGTGATAAATAAAAAAAAGGTTTCTTCAAATTTAAATATTCAACCATCTTAAAGCACTTGTTAGGTTTTACCAATCATAAAATAATTTAACATATCATATTTTTATATGTATTAGAATAAATGCTATGATTGCGACCTTTAAAAAAATATTTTACCTCTACTAATACTAATCGGACTCAAAAAATTACGTTTTTTAAGTTATTAAATATTTGTTTACGAAATTGAATTTTGTTTATATCAGTAACATTTTGAACCTTTCCATATTTAATCAGAGTTTGAAGATTTTAAATCCAAACTTATGTTTGCATCATCTAATATAAGTCGACATAATATACAGAAAAAGAGTATGCCATTGTAAACTGCGGTATTTTAATTTAAATCTTTGTAACGATTTAAAAAGTTACATTTTTCTATTTTTATGTTTTATCTAAAAATTTACAATATTAACTTATACTTGTCTAATTTTTAGGTACAGTTTTGATTTTTAGAATAAAAACTTACCCTATAGTTTCATTAACGATCACTTCGTTTAAGCCCAACTTATAATATCCATCATTAATTGCTAGCTCATAAAACCAATTAAAAATACTTGCATGTTCTTCAGCAGATTTAAATAATATATCTTTTCCCAAGTCTATACTTCTCCCTATAACTGCTTCAACTGATGATGTATTAACATATATAACGGAATAATTTAATTGTTCAAGTTCGATTATTTTTTTGTCTAATATATGATAAAATGTATTTTTAATATAGTTTGCTACTGCCCCAGCAGTAGTTTTATCTTTAATTTCAAGAGGTTCTTTTAATGACAGATCATACAATAGATCTATTTGATTAAGAAAACTTTTAAAATGTTTTTTAAAATACGTAAGTATATAAACATTGGTATCATTTATGAAAACAGCGGCATATAAATATTTTAGAAACATTTTACTTGATGCACTTACTGTTTCCTGCAACATATTAGAGCAACGAATGAATTGTGGTACATTGAAAATCATATCTCTGTAGCATAATTTAATAAAACTGTTCAATAAATGTCTAAATAATTTCAAATTTTCAGTGTATCTAAGAATTATTAATTCGTTTATTATTGATATTTTTTCAAGAAAATTGTCAAAATTTATTTCCGAGAAAATTTCTCTCATATCATAATAATGACACGTGCCCTTATTGTCCTTGAACCCATATAACGTATTTGACCATGTTTTCTGTTTAAGAATGACATTGAAATCATGAATAACAAATTGTACAAAATCACGTGGGTCTAAACTTGAACTACAGAAAACCATCAAACTTTGATTTAAAATCCAAAAATTTAAAATAAAGAATCGAAATAACATTTTTTTGAGATAAATAAGTAAAAATTTGAAGACTAATAAATTTGTTATTAATAATATAACGATACTAAAGTAATAATAATCGATAATGTTAATCTTCCATTTTATACAATTGTAATACATACAAATGAGTTTTAAAAGAAACACTTGATTTTTATTTTAGAATTGCAATAATTATTAATGTACGTAAATTTACACAATTTCGTCATTCTAGAAATTTCAAGGACAAAATTTTATATTTTATAATACGACTCAACTATTAAGACTGATTAAAAATATAAAATATAAGTAAAAATTATAACTTAAATAATTCGATTCTGCATAAAGTACTTTTTACATATTGTATGGTCTGACATTAAAAATCCTCTTGATATTAATAATAAAACTATTGCTACTAAAGTAGTAGCAAGTGTTAGGAAATTTATTTCTTATACATTAGACATAAAACATTAGTCGAACTTGACCAAATTAATCATTACGGGATTTATCATTATTTAAATTCAGTTAAAGCGGCTTTAATGGTCCAGCATAGTATAGACCTGACACAAGAAATAATAACTGACACTGTTAAAGAACATATAAGTTCTCTGTATAAGACACTCTGTATATAACATCAATGAGTCGATGTTACTGGTTAATTCTTAATATGATAAACCTATTAGACAATAGAGTTATGGAAATTAGGATAAAAAGAAAAAATTAAAGGTGAAGTAAAATAAAAAACTATATTGGTAATCTTAATTAGCGTTGATAACGTTGAGCTTCCAAAAATGTTTGAAACATTAAAATAATTTCCAGAAGAGAGAAATAAAATGTGGTGTCCAAAATATAAAACTAGCTCGTTGAATTTACTAATTATAGAAAAATAATGCTTTTAGTTTTATTTTATTAATTTTTTTTCTTTTTTTTTTTTGTTATCATTTCATATTTAATAACGATCATTCGGTGTCATCATATACGGGCGTCAATGAAAAAATATATTTAAAATCGACCCTATTATAATTTTTATTATAATATTTAATTTTTATAATTAAAATTTTTTTTATCATAGCTAACATCTATATTTACAAAAATATTTTTTATAATATAAGTTTTTATTTTGATATTGTACAGCACATTCTTTTTTCATTTTTAGGAATAAGAATATTGATTAGTTGTCGAAAGAAATACTTATGTATGTTAGTTATATTCAATTACAATGAAATACATGTATTTTGTAAATTGTAAAAGAACTAAAACGCATAAAATTAAACAAGGAGTTAAGTTGAAAAAGTACTACTTTTTATAAATATTTAATTTAAAAGGAAAGTATGTCGGATCATAGAGAAATGTATAATGCATTTAGAAATAACAATTTGTGTTGATTCATATATTTTTCAAAAAGTTCAATTGAAAGTTGAAAATATAAAATAGAATATATTAACACAAAATAGCATGTTATTTAACTACAAAAATAATTTGCACATAAAGGTCGTCGGAACAAATTTTTTTTTTTTTATGAATAGTACGTAAAATAAGCTTTAATTTAACATATGTTTATAGCTCGGAGTTTTTCGGAACATTTTCAAATGTTAAGTTGATATAGTTGAGTTTGATAAAAAATTTGTTATTTTGAATCCCCCTTGTAGGCAGGTAATGGGTCAGATTTAAAAAAAATGTATACCAAATGAAAGGAATAAATATAGTTAAAAAAAACTAAAATAATTTTTAACTTTTTAGTTCGATGTGCTTTAAAGCGTGTTTTTTTAGTTTTTTTAAACTGTATTTATTTTTCACTTTTTAGTTTCATGTTATGATAGTAGTTACTATCAATATCTTGGTTGGTACGGGTAACGGAAAATCAGGGTTCAATTCCGGGGAGNTTGGTTGTTACGGGTAACGGAAAATCAGGGTTCAATTCCGGGGAGGGAGTTTGAGAAACGGCTACCACATCCAAGGAAAGCAGTAGGCGCGCAAATTACTTACACTCGGAACGTGGAGGTAGTGACGAAAAATGACAATACGGAAATCATCCCTCGTAATCGGAATGAATACTTTATATCTCTTAATGAGAATAAAGTGTGTTAATATATATTTTTAATAGTAATTAGAATATATACATACACAAGTAAAGCGACTTAAGTACGTAAACGTATCATGCACGAAGTATAGCCATGTTTTGTGGGCGGGCGGGTCGGACTAACGTTATACCTGAGGTATGAACGGTGGTAGGAATATATACGTAAGCCGTATGGTACGCGGATGGTATTGGTCAGTCAAAATAAAAATTTGTTTATATATATATAATATTGATGACACGCAAGTGTGTACGGGTACGATAACCAAAAATAAATTTATACAGGAATAGTGTTGCCGTCGTGATATGAGCGGGGCCTGGGGTGGGGTGAATGCGTTATGACAGTCTAGTCTCAAGACCATAGACGACAGAATATGCGATAACGCGAGGAGCTTGGAGAGTTACAAACATACATACATTCATACATACAGGTGAAACTAATATAAAAATGTTAAAATTTATCGATTTTATAGATCTCGATAAGAGCTAAAAAAAGTATCGACAGACATGAAAAAAAACACATCATTGTAAAAATATCTTCTCAACTTGACATCAAAGCTAAAAAATATATTTGCCATAATTTCAAATTTTATTCAAATCCATAATTTTATAGATAGTGTCGAAAATAGAATAAATTGTTATTTTAGATAGGAACTCCGAACGCATATAATTGCACAGATATTATTTTTTTTACTTTCTAATTTTTAACATGAAATCATCTAATATTAATAAATTCTACTTTAGCCAATAACTATATTTCATTTTAAAGGCCTAAATATAATGCATACTTTATTCAATATATTACAATATTTTTATTCAGAAGGTATTAATTTTACTACGATGTATTTTTTTTTTATATCTGTTGCCATATTTTATTAGCCCTCGCTGGACCAATTTTGATGAAAAATATGTCAAAAGATCACAAATCGTATCTAGTCGATTATATTACACTCAAAATTTAAAAAAAAATCCATCGTTCCCCGTTAACAGGGTAAATCCCCCAAAAAATTACAAATTTAAAAATCGTTAATTTTCGACATTTTTAAATTTTTTTACTTAAATATGCCATAACTTTTTTAAAAATGACAGAATCAATATAATTTTTTTTTTTTATAAATATCTTAGACATTTACCTATCATTTAATATATTTTTGTGAACATTTGGCCCTTTAACAGCCCACAGGAAGGGTTTCAAAATGGTAACTTTTTTACAAAATATTAACTTTTTCAACTTAACATTTGAAAATGTTACGGATAGACTGACACTTTTATATATACCTTAAATTAAAGTTAATGTAATATAGTTTAATTTGAAAAAAAATTTGACCTCTGGACTTGTCTTCATTGTGAAAATGACTATCGTATGCAAAAATATGCTATTTTTGTGAAAAAATTCTTGATATTATATTTTACATTTTTTAACATTATGTTGCTATAACTTTTTAAAAAATGCATGAATCAACTTTATTCTTTAATGATAAATACTTTATATATACTTCTTTCATTCGACATACTTTTTTTTTTAATCGGACTATTTCCTTTTATATAGGGGGGGGGTGCAAACCTTTTAAAATGCGTATAGAAAGTAGAACTTTTTCAACTTAACTTTTGAAAATATTCCGGAAGTACTGACACTTTTATATATATCTTAAATTAAAGCTTATGTAATATACTTTAATTTGAAAAAAAAAAATTTGAACTCTGGATTTGTCTTCATGGTAAATATGACTACCGTATTCAAAAATATTCTATTTTTGTGTTAAAATTCTGGGTTTTGTATTTTATTTTATTTTAAAATACCTGACAAAGGGAGTACAGATTTTTATAAATATTATATAAATAAAAATTGATATAGTATAGATAGTTAAACTTATTTAAATATGTTTGTTTCTTTTNTATAGAAAGTTAAACTTATATAAATTTTTTTGCTTTTTGGAGTCGAGAAAAATAATTTTGAAATTTGAACTAGCTTAAATAGCCAATTTTTTCAAGCGACGTTAGCGATATACGGTTGCCGAGTCGGTTAAACTTGTGATTTACACGCTTGGGGTACAGGGTTCCTCCAACCCGCGTATGGCAAGACAATTTTTTGCATTTTTTCTTAATTCTTTTTAAATTTGAATAAATTGTCAACTCGTTTGATTTTTATCTCATTTAGATTCAATAACTTCAATAAAGATCAAGGATCCCATCACTTTAGTCGCCCCATGCAAGAAGAAATTTCTTATTCGTATTAAAATTATTTTACTATATTTTAAGTTTTCGCTTCGATGCAAAGCCNTATTAAAATTATTTTACTATATTTTAAATTTTAGCTTTGATGCAAATCTGAGAAGGTATTTTATTTTGACTGTCATTTATTTTCTTTGCTCTAACTTGACCTATATTTTTCAACGATATGTCAAATGATTACAATTAGTTGAAGATATTACCCTCAAAAATTGAAATTCTAATTTATCAATTAAACAGTTACTTATCCCATTTTCTCCATACAGACAATTAAAATCATTCATTTCTAATCTTTTCAAAGTATTTATTGACGAATCAAGTTTGATATGATAATTTAATATGATGGGTTTTAACTACAAAATTAAATCATTTTACTTTGTAATTAATAATTTTTTTACTCCATTTGTGTGTGCTACTACTAGACTATATTATTCAAAATTTTTTGGTAACATGTTGTTATATAAATCATTTCTAAAAAAAATGATTGTTAGTTTCTCCTGAATTAACAATGTATTTTTACAATTTTAATCAAATTTTATTATAAGCTCAATCGAGTAAATCTTTTTAACAACTTTGTTTTGTTGGTTCATTTAGTTAAAGTAAATCATTAAAATTAATTAAGTTCTGAATATTTCATTTGCACAATCTTTTCAAACACCAAAAGTTACTAGGAAATTATTACTATTACTTCTATTTAAGTTATCTATTACGATAAAAATGCAATAAAATATTGAGCTATTCTGATAAATTTACTATAAATAGTATTTATAAAACTTCCTAACTACATATTAATCTTAACGATAC